AAAAAAAAAAAAAAAAAAAAAAAAATAGATTCACCAACTCAAAAATAAAATAAATGTTCAAGTAAGTAGGCAGTTTGTGTGTTCTGTCTCATCTTAGCATTTTTCTGATTTAAACTTCCTGACACATACAGTATTTAGCAAAACCAAGCAGGTGATGCATCCAAACACACAGCTCTCAGTTAAGAATTGCCGTATAGAGTCGTACCAAAATTATTCAGATTTGCATGGAGCAGCCAGTAAGCAATTCCTGAGAGAGGATTATGAAATTAGGTGCAGTGGGTGTTCCTCTGGGCAGTTTTTGTTTTCTATTTTTGCTTGGTTTGTTTTCTTCCACCATCTGTAGAGATAACCACAGGTATTATCTGGAAACTCCTATTTTTCAGCTTTCGCAGCATGGTCTGGAAATAATTTATCACTTCTGGTGTTTGAAAGTGTGCTTCTGAAGTTATTTTTTTAAACCTATAATCTCTGTATGCATCTGAGATGTGTTACTGTACTAAATAATGAACGATCATTGTGTACTGACACACCATATATTACGTGCGATTATATATACCTATGACATATCCATCCTGAGAAATTTCTCTTCCACCGTGAAGAGTCCCAGCTTGCTTCCCATCTCTCTGTGTGGAATCTCTTCAGTACATCAGCTGCCATTGAAGAAGGAACTCCTGGCTCCTTGAAGTTCTTTGTTCTGTGGTAGTAGCTGTAACAGAGGATGCTAGCACTACAGATTGTATGGTTTGTAGAAAATAGCTTAGCAAAATACGGCGTGTGTTTAGTATTTGTTAGTGTCAAGGTGGGTGTGTGGTGGGCGTTTTTTTATCCTCTCGCCCTGCTGCAGTGTGCTGGAAGGCCCCATAGAGGGCAGCTGATGCTTTGGGAATGGGAGATTAACGCTCGGTTTGTTTTCCTTCGCTGCTGTTAGGTTGGTCGTTTAGAAAATGCAATTGGCTGGTATCACAGTCACCCTGGCTATGGCTGCTGGCTCTCTGGCATCGACGTCAGTACCCAGATGCTTAATCAGCAATTTCAAGAACCCTTTGTAGCAGTGGTTGTAAGTACTGGCTGATAGCTGATAAAACTGCATAGCAAATTATGTTGCGCGGGGAAATAATTTTTATATTTCTGTCAGCATTCTAGTAACATGTACTTTGCATGCATTAGATACAGGTTTTAAAATGGTATTGCTCTTTTTGCTTTGCTGGCTGCATACTGATCGAACCAGTAACATTGCTTATTGAGGCTGTTTCGACTGTATTATTCCAGATATTCTAGCTCTCTACCAATCCATGCATTACTCTTAACTTAAAATTCTACTTGGTACTTTTGCAAAAAAACGTATTGGGCAATCTATATTTGGCCTCCTGCAGCAGAAGAAAGATCCATTTCTTTTGTCTCTTCATTGTTTCTTCTGTCGAAATAGAGCAAAGCGTGTTCACAGAGTTCTGTTACTTTGCATCTAAAATGCCTTTTAAATTACATCAGTGGTACAAGGTACTAGGGAAATCTGTCTTTGAAGAAAAAATCAAAAGAAACTCTTTGGGCCCTTTGAGGTCTTCCAGGCCTCGGATCATGTTTGAAATCAAAATTAAACATTATTTTATATACTACTTGCTTAACCATTGCTACTACAGAAAATAAAGGAGTTATAACTCTCATGAAAGAATTATACTACAAAAGGATAAATGATCCTTAAAAAATTTTTTCCACCATGAGTTCTCCTATGTTATGACATAATGTCACAGATTCAATTCACACTAATTAGGTTTCTCTAATACAATTACTGTAAAGTTAACTTACGCCTGTAATAATTTACAAAAGGTATGTAACAAGCATTACTTGTATTTCTACAGATTGATCCAACAAGAACGATATCTGCAGGAAAGGTAAATCTTGGAGCATTTAGGACATATCCTAAGGTAAATAATTAAAATTATCTAGTGCATGATCAGTAAACTGTCTTTAAATAAGTAAGGGATTAATCCTAAAAATTACTGCACTTTGATTGGCTGTGCTGTACTGTATGTCATTGTTCATTCCGCAAGAAAAAGTGGTAATTGCATGTCTTTAGATATTGATTACATTTACAAAAGTTGACATCTGGTTTATTTTTCACAGATTTTTTGGCAGTGTTAAATCAAATAGGCTGTCTATATAGTGGAGCTGTCCTAAAATGATGTAGCTTAATACAGCCGTTTTTTTAAAGGCTATAACTTCAGGTAGTAGCCATCAAAATAGTTTTATGTTAATTATTTTTTACCATTTTTTAGAACTAAAAATAAATGTTAATAGCATGTTTAATGTGTTGTAATCTGCTTTTCATTTTAGAAAACTACCTACTTAACTTTCTCAAGTAAATATTATGAATCTTCACAAAATAATGTACAAAACCCAAAGTTAATTAAACATGGAAGGGTTAAGCTTAAAATAGTAAACCATATAAATACTGGAGACCTAGATCTCCAGATACAGTCTTTGTTTTATGCTTCTGGAAGAGATATAGCTGTTATTTCATTGCAATCTAATGAAGTTCGGGTATAGCCTTCAAGTTTCCTGTTATTATTGACTCTTCAAGAACTTCAAGCGGACATCCGTTTGTAAGAGATTCACAGTTGCATCCAAACATTATTTTTATGTTGACAAATGTACGAGAGATCTTCTTAGAACAGTTTGTGACTCGGGAGAATATTCACTCCGGTCGCAAAACCTCTTCATATAAATACTTTCAGAATTTTGAGCAGGGAGGAGAATCCTGCAGCTGCTCCAAATGAAACCCAAAAGAAAACGCACATTAGAAACGTATTTTTAGGGAGTCCTCACAGTGGTCTCTGGGCGTTTCTTGCCCAAGTCAGTATGGCACCATCCTGGCTAAATAAGTAACTGAAGTTTTAGGTATCTTTAAGGCATATCCAAGACATGGATATTTCTTCTCTCTTCTCATGCCTTCTGTTTTCCCTCCGGAGAGGATTGAAATCACTTCCAGGAATAGGTAGAGAAATATTAGCTTAGAAGAAGCTCGTTCTTCCTTTGATCTAAGAAATGATCTAATAATATCTTGCCATCTTGTTTGAAAAATCTCAACTACAACCACTGGTTTGCTTCCAACATACTTTTCGATAGACCTGCAAATGTAATAGGCACTAGCAAAGCAAAAAATTTAAGAAAATTCCAAATTTCAGGCTACAGGGGAAAGTTTCATTTTCCGCAGGAAAATTACACTAGATTTAGGATTTTTGTGAAGTCCTTGTGCAGAGTTTAGGCATTTTTAAAAGTCCCAAAATTACTGTGTCATTTTTGCTCTTTGAATTTTTAGGGCTATAAACCTCCAGATGAAGGTCCCTCTGAATACCAGACTATTCCGCTTAATAAAATAGAAGACTTTGGTGTACACTGTAAACAGTAAGTAACATTAAAAACTACTCATTCTAATGCAAATTCTCAATTTTTGTGTTTAGGTTAATGATTCAGTATGGAAAAATTCATTTGTTGACATTCTTTGTTGCTTTAGCACGGTTGCGTTATGTGAAAAGTGTTACTTTAAGGGCCAGTTGTTACGAAGATGAAGATGGACCCGGTTAAAAGCTTTAGCTTTAAGTAGTAGTGCTTTCTTAGGGCAGGGAGGACAGGGTCAGATGCAGATTTAACAGCTAGGCTAGGGAGATTGCCATCTGTCTGCTCTTCTGAGCACTGGCAAGTGCTGTGCACCTCATAACCTGCATCGTAGGGCGTGTTAAGATTGTTTCTGTCTTTGGTCGAGTTGGAAAGTGGAGCTGCTTCATGAATAACAGGAGGAATTCTTGCTTTTTTCTCTCCTGCTAGTTTGCTCTCCATGAATTAAGACGGTAGTTCTAAACATTCTTTAACTGTTCTATCCCCAGCCCCGTGTTCCTCACTTCATACCTACCTTGTTTGCCGAGGCATTTGTTTTGCTGGATCAGTCCCCTGATCCGGTCCAGCTTGTGGGAGCACACGTGTTCTCACTGGTTAAGCTACGGTGGGGTGGAAGTAGAGGCAGATGTTGGAGATGGTGTTTGCAAAGAACAGCTAAAGATGGGACCACTTGTTCAGTAAGAGCCTGGTTTCAGTTCTGCCTTGAGTTGTTTGACAAGCGTCACAGCTTAAGCATCTGTATCCAGAGAACTTGAAGGTCTTATTGACACCAGTGTGTCCTGTAGGCTGTCCCCTGGTTTGTTTGTTTTTTCATGTTTTTGGTACATGAATACCTTTTCTTCAGTGTGTTTATAGTCACGTGCAAACTCTGACCGTGAAGAGATGAAGACGGTAAAACAATTGGAATTGGTCTTCCTCTCCAGTTTGAGGAAAAATCCAGAGCAGTAGCTACACAGAAATCTTCATGGAAATGTAACATTCCTGTCATTTCAGAGTGGTCTTTAGAAGTGTGGAATTGGCCAGAAACCCGTGCTTTCAAGTGTGAAAGGAGGATATGTTTTATCCTTTCGATTTTAGGGGTGGTCAGTTTGGGAGAGTTAATTTGGTGGGTTTACTTTGAAGATGGAAGTACTTAATAGTTATTGTTATAATCTCCATCTCGAGAAGTTGGCTTCTTGTACAAGCCATTTCTTTTCATCCAAACCAAGAAAATATTTGCCTGTTTTTCCTGGAAGGAGACAGCAGTTAGGTGCAGAGAGGGAATTAAAACTGGAAATTTGTCATGTTACCAAATTATTGATAGCACAAAAGACTAGAAGTGGTGGTGTCATCTCAGTAGTATGGGTAGTCTGACTGAGAATTGCACATCTAGAGAACTTGAATAGCAGTTGTAGAACCATGGAATCATTTAGGTTGGAAAAGACCTTTAAAGTCATTGGGACCAGCTGTTAACCTAACACTGCCAAGTCCACCACTAAACCGTGTCCCTAGGCACCACATCTACATGTCTTTAAATACCTCCAGGAATGGCGACTCAACCACTTCCCTGGGCAGCCTGTTCCAATGCTTGAAAACCCTTGTGGTGAAGAAATTTTTCCTAATATCCAATCTAAACCTCCCCTGGTGCAACCTGAGACCCTTTCCTCCCATCCTGTTACTTGGGAGAAGAGACCAACACCCACCTTGCTACAACCTCCTTTCAGGTAGTCATAGAGTGATAAGGTCTTCCCTGAGGCTCCTTTTCTCGAGGCTAAACAATCCCAGTTCCCTCAGCTGCTCCTCATAAGACTTGTGCTCTAGACCGTAAATGATCCTGTCCATTTGGAATGCTGGTGACTACTAATTGTGTCATAGTAATAGTCTGGATAATCTTAGTCAAATTGCTTTCATTGGTGTTCAATATCCAATGTGAAGCTGCTCCATTTAATCTTTTTAAGTAAGTTTATTACAGTATTCCTCAAACAACTTGGATTTCCGAGTTTGAATCTTCCACACATCTCTGAGGAACTGATTTAGTACCTTATTTTTCATAGCATATGCTATTTGTTCTGATCACACAAATATTGAAGTGTGGTGTGTTGGTAGATTTTAAAGCATTGTCATCTCAGATGGAATTTCTCACAGAATTGCCAAGCAAAATAACTTTATAGAGAAATCAAGAGGTAATAGGATTATTGATAACCTGCTCGAGAACTTCCTGATCAAAATGAAGTTCGATACAGCTCTTTAATGTTGCTGTAAGTCACCTGCACTAACGACTTTGCATAGCTCAGCTTTCTGTCTGCTTCTGTAGCACCACTAAAGCCTGGCTTTCAGAACAGGTATGGTAGTAAGACTGTTTGCCTGTTTGTAACATTTACTGCTCTCAAACATTCCTAATTGAATTAGAGGTGAAATAGGCAAGACTGCACTCATCTGTAAGTAACAAGTACTACAGTATTGAAGATCCCAAGCATGGAACAGAGCATCGTCGCATTGCACAAGAAGCTGTTTAAAGAGTAATTAAAAAAACCTTGCATTCTTACTATATAGAACACAGTAGTACACGTTGGGATTGTGTATACCTGTATTAAAGCTATGTATGAAATACTTACGGAAAATCTTTTAGCATTAGAATTGGAACTGGGGGTGACTTTTTTACTGTTGAATTTTTGAAGATATTTGCTGTTGTTAAGGATATATGAGGAACGGATGAGGAATGACTGAGAGATCTGGGGCTGTTTAGCCTGGAGGAGACTGAGGGGAGACCTTACCACTCTCTACAAGTACTTGAAGGTTGTAGCCAGGCGGGGGTTGGTCTGTTCTCCCTAGTGGCGAGTGACAGGACAAGGGGAAATGGCCTTAAGTTGCACCAGGGGAGGTTCAGATTGGATATTAGGAAGAATTTCTTTACTGAAAGGGCTGTCAGGCATTGGAACAGGCTGCCCAGGGAGGTGGTTGAGTCCCCGTCCCTGGAGGTGTTTACGAGATGGGTAGATGTTGTGCTGAGGGACATGGTTTAGTGGTGTTGATAGGGCTGGGACAAAGGTTGGACTCAATCTTGAAGTTCTCTTCCAACTGAAACTGTTCTGTGATTCTATGATTTTTTGAGATGCACTTTGCTGTGCTTTGAGTATCACAGCCAAACAACATAATTTAGATGGAAGTTCATTTTGTTTGTGTGTTTGTTTTTACAGGTATTATGCTTTAGAAGTCTCATACTTTAAATCATCTTTGGATCGTAAATTGCTCGAGCTTTTGTGGAACAAATACTGGGTGAACACTCTCAGTTCTTCCAGTTTGCTTACTGTAAGTATCATAGTATGCTGTCGTGCATGCGTTGATTCATTAGTGGTTAAAGCCAGACCCTGTACTGTAAAATGCTTAGTAGAACACTGATAGATAAAGATCTCATGTTAGGAATGTACCTGTCAGATTAAACAAGAAGATAAGGTTTTCCTAATCGTTAATACTGAAATGTTTCTTATGTCCACTCTTTAAAAGATCTGAAAACTTAGATTTAATTTTACTGAGTTCTCTATACACTTAGGTTTTGTCTTCAACACATTTTAACCTTATTTCTCTTTATAGCACTGTAATAAATGATATGCCTTAAAATAATGGTATTGACTAAGTAAACAAAAAAAAGGAACTTTAAAACAAAGTTGCGACAGAAATACTGTAGAGAAACCTTCAGCGTAACAGCTCAGCGTCAAAGCCTTTCTTCTGCAAAAGTCAATTTTATACCTTTTGTCAAAACCAACTGAGTTTTACTTACTCTTTTATAACTTAGGGCATGGATGGAAAGTAACAGAGAATGCCCATTTATTTCAGGCTTTAGGAATTGAGTTTCTGTCAGATGTTCAGCTTCTATTCTCTCAACCACCCCTTGTGTGCCACTCATGTTCTCTACCACCTCAGTTGCAAATATAGGATAAAACGTGCAGTACTAGAGTTCTAAAAGGCTCTCTTCGGATTTTGTTTATTTTGTGTGTAAATGCTTGAATTCATAGCTTAGAACTCATTATGTTTATTGCCTTCTTTCTCCTAAGAATGCCGACTACACCACTGGCCAAGTGTTTGATTTGTCCGAAAAATTAGAACAGTCAGAAGCTCAGCTGGGAAGAGGCAGTTTCATGCTGGGTTTAGAGACTCATGATAAGAAATCAGAAGACAAACTTGCAAAAGCAACAAGAGACAGGTAAGATAATGCATATTGTGTTCTTCCTTGTAAAAAATGTTATTTTGATTTAAACTTTTATCATAACTGTAGTTGTAACCTAACAATTAAATTATAACCTACCAAGGCTATAGGCAAGTATGATTAAATCATAGACAGGAATAAGAGACTCGAAATGTCACGAGTTATTTTGGAAAGTTTGATAAGACTTTGCCTTTATTAAACCTACAGTGGCTTTTCAATCTTTGTTTCTGAAATAAAGTCAACTCTAGTTCATTAAACAAAAAATCCCTGTCAAATTCCATTAGTATACAGCAAACAAAAAAAGATATTTTCTGTCAAAGGCAAATAAATTACTTCATTTACATCTTGCACAGTATGATTCGGGTGAACATGACTTCCTAAAGACAGGAGTCAGCTTGTGCTGGACAAGCCTCTGTTTTGCAGTAAGCAGTGAGGGAATACCTGCAAGTTTAATATGGTTATTACTAAATAGAATCAGGGTTCCTGTTGTGCTGGTGTCTTCTGTGCATTTGTTTCCTTGTTATGCATAGTTAACAGGTTTTCATTTCATAATCATCAGTAGTTAGTTTATAAATTGTAAAACTGGGAGAGATTTTTGTTGTCTTTAGTGCTGCTTTCCCTTGTAACTGAGGCTACAGTAGTTCCCAAAATGGATTGTAACAGATGGATTTACAGATGCACATTTTTCTTCAACTAATAATTTTTCCTGAGAAAAGATAAGGCAGTCAAAAAACTGTGTAGACACCAGGACAATTGATTCAGTGACACCTAAATTACTTTCAAGAAACAAAGTTGGAGAGTTCAAAGGATTACTAGCTGTACCAGTTTTAGGAAAAACAATAAGACGTTAGCATAAAGCTGCTTACACTTGGCTGTATGATATCTTCTGTTACTGCAAATACACATCTCTGACTTGTTTTCTAAGAGTACGTATGCATTAGCCAAACTGAGCTCCAAGCCAGCTTCCTTTGCCTAGGATTCCTTTATCTCCTAATAATTTGTCCCTATTCTCCATGTTTTCAGGGCTGATGCATCTTTTGCACTTTTATGTTCTGTTTTGCCACATATTTTTATTTGTTCGTTTGACACTACCTCCCCCGAAGCCAGGCACACTGGATGAAACTTGGATCAATAGGAATCCTCTCAGCTGTTTGAGGGGTTTGCACATGTTAAATATTTTGACTAATAATTGATTAGCTCTACAAACTCTCCTTTCAATGTTCTTTGTAAAGTTTCTCAGAGGAGCTACGGTTACTGTGCACTACTGGCTTGGGGCTGGGCAAAGAAGATAAGGTAGAGAACAGTGAGAGCCTTCAAGTGTTAACAGCTGGTTTCTCCATTTCCCTGGAGTTCTGGATTTGGTTTGAATTTTTTTTTTTTTGGTTCAGATGACCACAGAGATCACTTGGTATTGTAAGATGTCCTAGGTTGCCAGAGAAAGAAGTTTCCTGGAATTGGTCCTTGTGGATATAGTTCTCATCAGTTTGCTTTTTAACAAAAGACTATTGGCAACAATGGCTAAATTGCTGTGTGTGACTTTTCCTTTCTGGACAGTTGTTAAGATTCATGGGGTTATGGGCACCTTGAACTTCCAAAACAGCTGAATGTCTTCAACTAAAATGACAGTTCAGTTCAGCATTTGGCCAACATTGAATTTACACTTGTTTTTCAGCTGCAAGACCACCATAGAAGCTATACATGGATTGATGTCTCAGGTTATTAAGGATAAACTTTTTAATCAAATTAATATAGCTTGAAGTGCATCACCAGCTGATATGCATCTCCAGAAAAAGTCATGGTTTCCTTCTCTTGGACTTGTTCAGTTTGGAAAATGAAGCTGGAGTGGAAAACTATTCATTTAATTTGTAGTACTTTACTATTTCCCACCTGTCTGACTAGTTTTAAAGAACAAAATGTTCTTAAATATAGTGCAACTTGTTGCTCTTTATCATAATACAACCAGTTTGGAGAATTGTTCCAAAAAAAAAAAAATGTGACTTACTGGATTTTGCTCTTAGGTATTTATGTCTATTATCCAACTGCAATAAAACAATTCTGAAAATGAGTGAGTGTTCTGGGGCTTGATTTTTTGGCAACATCCATCTCTTCTTACTCTTTTTCTTACTGTTCCGTAGAAAAGTTCTGTCCACTCGGTTAGATAGGTAACCTGTGCAGCAAAAGAAGTTTGTTTCTCAGATTTTCATTTGTGTTTAATTTTAAGAATTGAAATCCCATTTGCTTATCTTTTAACAAGTTATTAAATCTATTGAAGCCTTTCCTGATTTAGTTTTACTGGTCCAGCCAGAAATGGTTTCTTCTCACCGCGATGAAACATTTGTGCATGATACAACAGCATTTTGCTTTTAGCTTCATCCTTAGGATGGACATTTTATATTTCTAAGGAGTGAAGTAAGAACCAGTTCCACACTGAAACTAATAATACAGTTATATACCATTGTATTTTTCCTGCTCACCTTTTGTTGCTTATCTTAGTCACTTGTTGCATGCAAGGGAACAAAAAGAAAAATACCATCTCCAAAAACACGCATTACTTAGGCCATTCTATGATTCTATGATGATTAGGCTAATTTAGGGCCACGGATACTAAAATGCATTAATCATAATAGCTGGCTTACAACACGGTGCTGCTGCAGGGCTCATCTAAGTTTGTTTTGGAGGCTTTCATTCTGCATTTCAATAATTCAGGATGTTTGGATTTCTTTTTAAAGTTTTTCTCTTTAATCCTGAGTTTCCTGGGGTTTTTGGAATGTCTACTTTTGGGAAAATTTACGCTTTATAGAATATACCATTTCGCTTGATACCTTAAGTAACTGATAGTCCTTTTCAACTCTGCCTTGATGTGGGTTTTGGTTTTGTTTTGGTCTGGAAATTTTAATAGCTATTACTCATTTGGGGCTTTTCATGCACTGTATTTGAAGCTAGGGTTCAAGTTATACAAAAGAAAGTTATCATTCAGCAGGGAAATCGAGGTACCCTGGAGCAGAAATTCATCAAGAGTTTTAAAGCAGCAGCATCCAACAGTATAGGAAAAATACATTTAATGGAGCTGACAACATTGAGATAATTATCAGATGTGCAGTTTGACAGGAGAACAATTTTATGCTTCTTCCAGCATGGCAGTTGTGAGGGGGAGACAGGAGCAGAGAGCTGTGGTATTTTAATATTCAAAGCTATTAATTTTCTTTGAAATGGCAGTGACAGACTTCTGTACGAGCAAGCGCAGTACATAAGCCCACAGCAGTAACTTTTAAGTTCAAGGAAGACACAGCAAGTGTACCTGGCTAGTAATTTTTCCTGCTTGTTTTCTTCCACAGGTGTTTGTGAAACTTTAAATTTTAGCACACAGCCATTGTCTCACTCAGTAGGTGTTTACACAAAGAAATACACTGTTCTTGTGTGATTTTTCTTACTACAAAATATACCCTATATTGCCACTTCATAGAATTCTCTTTGCATAACATGATCCAAAAGTTATGGACATCTTCCATCTGTCTGAAACATAATAGTTTAATCTCATATTTGTCTTTTTACTGCATTTAAACTGTCATCATTTGTGCTAGGAATGAGCTGAAATTCCATGCACGTAGGCTCAGATTGAATGTTTTTAGTGACAGTTGGCTTTAAAATACCAAGTTGTTCTATAAACTGCAGCAATAGAGATGCTGATGCTTGAATGCTGCTGTAAACAGCTGTCCACTGCGTTATGTGTGTTGCTACTAGCTGACCATATAGTCCATTAACTCAATTTAAAAATCATATGTGTGGTACGGCTATACCTGTGGCCTGTACAGGATCCTTTCTGCAGTGTTCAGGAACCAAAATAACTTGTCTTTGATTTGATCATCCATTTTTAATGCTAGCATTGTTCCAAATTCTATCGTAACTACGATCAGAATTCCATGAAGATGATGACCATGAAGGAATCATCCACTATGTACAGACATACACACAAGTGTATCCTAAACGATGGCGAATCATTAAGGAAGAGAAAGTATGCCTTAATTCTACAAATAATTTTGAGACTTAAAAAATAGAAGGAATAAAGGTAGTCTTGAGAACAGTACATGGGTATATCAACAAGTACATGAATTCATTCTTCCACATTGGCACCCACTTTTCATTTAGAAATTTGTTTATTCAAATGAGTGCCACATACCAGGTAATTATTTTGACAACTAAAGTAATTCACTACATAATAAAGCACATGCAAATAGATTCTCTATTTAGATTTTTGAGACAAGCAGGCATACAAAAATTCTGAGTGCCTTTGACAGTTTAATAACTAAAAATTCAATTACCACAATTAATTTCTTCATCTAACAGTATTTATGGAAATTATGGAATGCTGAATTGTGTCTGAACTTCTTCCTTCTCCTGTTCTTCTAGTTTTCTTTTTTCAAGTTGTCCTGTATGCTCACCTTTTTCATGTATGCAAATTGCATTTTTAAGCAATTTATGCATTCTGATCTCAACAGAATCCGAAGAAATATATGCACGTTTGTAATCGGATGCCAGGGACTAAGCTGTAACTCCTGACAGAGTACCACTTTGCCTTTATTGTGCATGGCACTTGAAGAAGAGCCTTTCACATTTATTCTGTGAATACTGGGACACTCAAAGATGCTTTATTGTCCTATCTGACCTCCTCCCTTGAAGTTCCCTTCATATATTTGTTAAGAATTGGAATGGCAGCTCATTGCCTGGAGACTGAATAGTTGTGCTTCTGTTGCCACATGAAACCAGAAAAAAGACATACTTTGTCTTGCTCTTTTATAAATTTGCTGACTGGAGTAATGCAGCTGTGAGAGGCTGGTTTCTGCTTCTGTTCACCTGCTGTCCTGTCTTCTAGTCTACCTGAAATGCAAACAGGCAAGAGAAGGGAAGGGGTTACAGGAAGAGCTCTGCTGGTTGGCCATCTGTAGGTAGGAGTGTTCCTGGGGAAGAGCATGCATCCCTGCCCACTGCAGGGAGGTTGGATTTACATGATCTCTAAGGTCCCTTCCAGCCTAAGCCATTCTATGATTCTATGAACCTGGTCCTTTTTTCACGTGTTTTGAATGGATCTAGTAGCTATAGAAAGTATTTCTGGTTCTAAGTGACATGTGCCAATTAACTGTTTCATTTGCCTTACCCTCCACCTTTATGATTTATTCACTTTTATCATATTGTCATCTATGCCTTCTCTCGAAATTCAGATATGAAGCTGCCACTTTACCCACTTAATCATTTTCATTGCCCTCCGTACCATGGCTCTTCCTGCTTTATCCTTGACATGCAGAGCCCAGGACTGTGCTGTACTCAAGATTTGGATGCACTGAAGTTATACAGAGAGGCAAAATTGCTTTCTCTCAGTACCATTCCTAGAATCATAGAACACTTGATGTTGGAAAAGACCCTTGGGATCATCGAGTCCAACCATTAACCCTGCACTACAAGTTCACCCCTAAACCATATCACCCAACACCACATCTAAGTGACACTTGAACACATCCAGGGATGGTGACTCAACCACCTCCCTAGGCAATCTGTTCCAGTGTCTGACCACTCTTTCTGTGAAGAATTTCTTCCCAATGTCCAGCCTAAACTTGCCCTCTTGCAACTTGGAACCATTCCCCCTGGTTCTGTCCCTAATTACCTGTGAGAAGAGACCAGCACCACTACAGTGTCCTTTCAAGTAATTGTAGAGCATGATGAGATCCTCCCTCAGCCTCCTCTTTGTCAAACTGAACAGACCCAGCTCCCTCAATCGCTCCTCATAACGTCTGTTCTCCAGGCTCTTCACCAGCTTTGTTGCCCTCCTCTGCACTCGCTCCAGTACCTCGACATCTCTCCTATACTGAGGTGCCCAAAACTGAACACAATACTCAAGGTGTGGCCTCACCACTGCTAAGTGCAGAGGGACAATCGCCTCCCTTCTTCTGCTGGTCACAAAATTTCTAATACAAGCCAGGATGCCGTTGGCCTTCTTGGCCACCTGGGCACACTGCTGAATTGCTATGTACAACTCTGGAAAGCACTATGTAGGCATAGTTCAGCACTTCTCCAAGATGCAGTTCTGTACATCAAAGCTTCTCTGCCACATTTTTGCTCACTCAGTTCTGTGAGATCCTTTTGGAGTTCAGAGTCACAGAATGTTAAGAGTTGGAAGGGACTTCAAAAGATCATCTAGTCCAACCCCCCTACCTAGAGTAGGATCACCTACAGTAGGTCACACAGGAACGCATCCAGGCGGGG